TGCGGAGACAGAGGAGCGGGTGCTTGTGTCCCTGCCTGTGCTGCCCCTGGCCTCCTTTCAGTTCTGGGAACTGCACTTTGTTCTCTCTCTCTGGGTTTGTCACTGGTCTTTCTTTCTAGTTTGATTTTTAAAATCACTGCAGCACTTTTTTTATTCTTGCTTTGATTTTCCCAGACCTGGAAAGAGGGCCATGTTGGCACCTAAATTGATGCCCTGCTTTGGGGAGGGGCTTGACTGCACCCTGCCTGCCTTGTTTGGGGGGGTTGGCAGTGTGCTGCTTCTGGAGCCCTGGGCTGTGGGGGGGGGGAGGAGAGGGGAAGGGAGGGGTCTTCCCTTCAGTACTATGAGAGATGAGTACTCTTCCATGTAGTAATTGCTTGTTGTTTTGGGGTGATGCCAATGTTTGGACCGTGAGCGGACGCGAGCCAAGGTAGAGGTAAAGCTACCTAGAGCCACAACGTTTTGGGAGGTGGAGGACACAGGTGACTGCACACTGATGGTGACTTCTGGGTCACCTGGAAGGAGGCCTCTGCCCTTTTGCTGGAGTTGTGTGCTTGAGCAGAGCGTGCAGTGAGTAAGATGTTACTTGGAGCGGTGTGGGATTGTGTTCCGGTGGGGCAGTTGTTTGTCCTTTGCCCTTCTGTTTGGTAGTGAAGTTGCCTGCGTGCCCTCAGCATTTACCTGTGTACCCTGTGCAGAGAGGAAGGCAATTGGGGACAAGGCTGGGCTGGAGAAGGAGCAAAATTATGCCAGGTTGGGTGTGTGTTGTCTCTACGGGCTGAGGCTTCTGTCATGGCTGGAGGGGTGTGCCCTGGCCAGGCACCGTTTGGGGAGCTTTGAACTCGGTGGGTGACGTGGGAATTGTACCTGGTGGTCCCTTCTTCTGTTCACTGGTGCCCTTTGGGGTGAACAGCCTGTTTTGTCCCTTGTAGGGTCCTGCCCTGCGTGGACGGAAATGAATGTCGGTTGAGGGAGTGGAGCCGAGCAGTGCCCACGGAGGCGGAAGCAGGAGGAATTGAATGCTGTGATGTGAGTTGGTGCTGGATGGGCAGATCCAGTAGTTGGTAAGAGCTTGCTTGGAGTAATCTGGGGTTGTTTGAGTCTGGTAGTTATTTCTGCTTTGCACTTTGTAGTTCTTTGTGCTGGGGTTTTTCCTTTGTGCCTGCAGCAGGTGCGGACCTCTGGAGTTAAGGGGGGATGGCAGGCAGGGACACATGATGGCTGGTGGTGCAGTGCGATGCCGGCTGTGGTGGGTGCTGGCTTCTGGAGTTAAGGGGGGATGGCAGGCAGGGACACATGATGGCTGGTGGTGCAGTGCGATGCCGGCTGTGGTGGGTGCTGGCTTTCAGGGCTGAGGCCTTCCCCCTGCTGTCTGCCTACCCTGTGCAGTGTGTTGAGGTGCTCCCTTGGCTGCATGTGTGGGGTGGGAATTTTCCCAGTGGTTCCCTTGTACTGTGTTTTGTTCTTTCGCTTGGGGTGAATGCTTCTTCTCTGTTCTCTCTAGGGTCCTGGTGTGTGTGGAAGGAAAGGGTGAGGACACTGGAGCAGAGCAGTGGTAATGGAGCCAGAGGATCAGGATGCTAGAAGGTGTTTTGTGTTTGGGAGGAGGGGGAGGGGTTGCCTGGGTGTGGTGGGAAGGCTGAGGCAGGGAGTTGTGGGGTTTGAGGTTCCCTTCCTCCTTTGTGGTGGCATGCTGTTGTCAGGGGTCCCTCATCTGGCTCTGCACGAGGCGTGAGCATGCCTGCCAGCCCCTGCCACTAGTTGTTTTGGGTCCTTCAGCTTGGTTAGCTCCAATATTTGGGTGCTGGTGTCTGGCCCTGTTCAGGTTGTGCCGGGCCACGAGTGTTTTGTCTGAGTTACTGCCTAGCTGTTTGTATTGCCACAGGCTCTGCCACCAGTGCTGGGAATGGCTTGTCCTGTGTCTGTGTGCCTTTCTGTTTGTCTT